TTTTCAGTAGTATCTGGATAAATATTTTGCTCTGCTGCGGGTAACGAATCGATATCCATTTAACGTCGTCGTGTGCACCATTGGGAGATACGAGTTTCGATTGCTTATCTAAAAGCGTTTCAGATCCCTAAAAAAGTTGTGAGAAAAGTTCTGTTTCGTATAAGACGCACGCAAACAAACATCCCCTTGTAAAGCATAGCCCAAACGAACGTTTAAAAACGAATGGCTTTTGCTCCCTAATTGAGTTTTTGAAACATTGCTTCGATTGTCCCATCCAAATATGTTCATCTTCTGGAGCTTCCTGGAATTAGCTTGAGAAAAAAATGGGGCTTGTGCATGACAGAACAAAGGTATAGAAAAGGTCTTTGGAAATGGAGGCGACAAATACTGAAAACGATCAATAGTAGGCAGCCACGGTGTCAAGATTAAAGGGTCAGATCAGTGAATGAAGCCAGAAAAGCATTATTAAAAAAACAACGATGAGAGTTGAGATAGAAATGAGAGTAAGAGAGAGAGAGAGAGAGAGAGAGAGAGAGAAATGGAAAAGCGAACGAGTGGGTAGGTAATTGATGGCAGGCGCGTGTGGGGGGAAATTCGCTGTCTGTTATTTGGTGTAAAAATTGAGGGCTAAGTAAGTGCTATTTAGAAGAGTATATGCGCATTTTAGAGCAGATTCTCAAAATTTGAGTGACGCTCAAGGTCCGCTGTATATGTTTAACAGTAGGTCGTGACCTGGATTCAAGCTCCAGTGAGGATTATTAGAAGATCATGGCGAATATAGTATTTCCGGAGTCCAAATCCCAATTGATGTATAATTGTACAAAAAAAGGGTTAACATGGTGGGTAGATGTTTTGGTTGGATTTTCTAAGAGTCAAAAGTCGCAAGCATACGGTGGTTATTTTGCATTGGCTACTTTGTGGATTGAAGCCAGGTAGTACAGAGACTTGGAGATGGATTGTAATTAGTCTCGTAGGTTCAATGGAATATGAAGATGTTGTTGTTCGCTTGTCATAATCGATTCAGATATGGGTTATAGGTCTAACGTAATTGATATTTAGACGTCTCAAGAACAGCATTTGATGCAGCTATTAAAGCTACCTTTAAACGATGCCACGTGACGTTAAACTCTCCCTGACCCTCGTTAATGAAAGTTTCGGTTGTTCGTTAAGCTTCAAGTAACGAGAGTTGAAGATGTAACTTTATTCGAAACTTATCATTAGTAATGAATTGATTATTACTGATTGGAATATTAACAATAGTCTATCTCATTATGTACAAGCTCTACATTAAAACTGACACGATTTATATTTGCATAAAACCGGGGTGTGCGGCAGACTTACCTCCACGTGGTGCGCCCTGGGCAAAGTATATTCATACGGCAAAAAAAGTCTATCGACCGGCAGTTGACTTCTAACTTCAAACTACCATCACTTCATATATTCATATGAAGTAGTCATATTCGACTACTTCCACAGTACTCACCTCAGCTTTTTTTACCTTTGCGACTGTCTCATTTAAATCTTTGAAACACTCTTCTGCTCCCTCCCCCCTCTCGACTTTTTTCACTTTGATGTGAAGACCGAAGTCAACTAAAGGACTTATGATAACTATCAAAACGCCTGCCATTTGGAATAAGTATTTGCATAAAACCTTTACATAATCATTTCTACTTATAATTATACAGTAGTAAATGAAATCATCAGTTAAGATATAATCTCGATCATTTCAACTCGTTATCATTAAAGTGACAAACCGTTGCCCACTAAAAGTAGCTTAACTTTCCCCTTTTTGCTTTCTTTAAAATATGCCATCTTTTATCCCAAATAGAGTTGAAGTTCGAATTTCAGGAAAATTAATTTGTTTTCCTTTATTTGCAAAATATAAAAAGTTTCTTATGTACAAATAAACATACATTGTTGCGGGAAAGCGGAAAAGAGGAGTCTACTTAGAATATTTAAAATGGCCGTTAGTATTGAGAAAACGACCGACAACATGGAAATGATCGGCCTCAGATCGATGCTGGTCCAACCGTGATGCAGTGGCGAAGAAGCAGCCACAAACGGGGCATCCATAGGTCACAGGAGTGGTGGGAAGAGGGGCAGGCCAAAATGGAAGGTCCTTAGGATCTAATTGAAAATGTCTACCCTTTCCTTTGCCCGTTTTGCTCTCTCCATTTAAGAAAGCTGCACGCTTTATATGACAGGTTGGCAGATGATCAAGTAGGGCTTTAGCCGACTCAAATGGTCCAAAGGAACGAGGACAACCAGGGCAGTACCACTCAATTGGACGCTTTCTTTTCTTTATAACCTTCTTCTTTTGTGGTTCCTCTTCTCGACAAGAAATGGTCAGATGGACCTTCAACTCTGCTTTGGTTGCGAATCCTCCAACATGGCAGACTGGACAACTGAGCATCGACATCTTTGCATTCTGACCTGACTCCCTGTCACTATCACTGGCTATACTACTTTCGCCATAGCAGGGAACTGTTGACTCCTGAAAATGCAAATTACATTAATCTGAAATCATATAAGAATATGTATTCATCAATCTAAATGGATATATCCCTTCGCTATTACATGCTTGCCAACTATCATCCTGTGGGAATAATGAAAACCTGCATTGATTAAAATGAATTCACCTTATTCAAAATAACCAACCAGAATCGAGAAGAATCCCGGTGCAACAGGTCTCGGTAAGAATGAAAAAGTACAATAGGAGAATGTGTGAACTAAGTGTTAAAAAGAAGACTACACAATCACCTTCCGCATTTCACTATGGAGCACCTGCAATTTTTCCAAGTTAATCGAACGCCATTATATATGAATTTGAAGATTCAGTTAGCATAATCATGCTATCAGTTATAACTTGGTACTTACAGAACTTTCGTCGTCATTCTTTACAACGTCGTGTGAGTCATCAATCTCTTGAAGCTGAAAAGTAAGTGAAAATAGTAAATGGAGCTGAGTGATAAATACTACTATAAAGAATATAAGTAGAGATTGAAATGATTTTAAAAGCAAACTTGCCTTGTAATCCAGTGGAGATACGGTTATTTGCTTGTCCTGAACAGCCGAATCTGTTTCAACTTCCATTTGCGTTTCCTCAGCAAGTTCTGGAATTTTACTACCAGTGGACATCTAAGGATGAAAAAAATGCATAGGGGAAAAATAATTCGAATAAGACACTTCGAAGCACCATTGCTGACGCAATTGGCTGATGAAAAGTAAAATTTAACAAACCTCGGAATTCAGTGAAATATCTTCAGCAGATACTTTGGTAGACGACTTTGTATCCTTCTCTTTAACACCTGATTTAGAATTCTTGGGAGTGTTCGCCTTCGATTTTGGGCTGGGTTTCTAAGAAAAGATGTAAAGGCATAGGAGAAAGAGAATAGTGAATAGTTTTAGAGCAAATTGGCAATTAACAGTTGATCTCTAAAATACATTTCCCATCCTCGAAGATTACACTATCGAAAAAACCTTCCCTATTGAGTTTATAGACTAGCCTACTGAAGTGATATTCTTAAAGGTTAAGTAAGAGCGAAAAAAGTTTGAATGCTACGAGAGCAAAATATAAGTAGCGATCTACCTCAGAAATCAAAGGCGAGCCAGAGGCAGCAGAGAAATTATTGCCTGTAGAGAGTTCAGCGTCACAATCGTGAAGCCTTGACTTCGTTTCCTTACTGGGTTTTGATGGACTTTCTGGAGTATTAGAGACTGCGGCTTTCTACAATAGAAAAAGACTACAGTTTTTTTCTTTTCCTCGACTAAATTTCTTTCATTTCTTAAAGTACTCTCTCCTAGTACCTGTGAAGTACCTGGACAAGTGGAAGCATCCACTCTAATCCCAGAGCCACCCCCTCCCCAGAATGACTAGTTTCCTGTTCTGCTAACATCCACACATGCACAACCTATACCGGTCCCACTTTGCCATTACAGTTGTCGCGATGGTTGGAAGACAGGCCATAGCAAATGTTTCAATAATTTCATATCTTAAATCTTAAACAAATGACAGAAGTACAAGTCCTTCACAAGACCAATACAAAGTAATTCGCTTTTAGAGCGATGAACGTGAAGCACTGTTCTCTTAAAGCTAATCTAAAATATAATTCCAAGTATCGAAACCGAAAATCCTGACCCACCTCTGTATTCTCAAGAGAGTTGCCAGTTTCTTCGCTGAGGGGCCCTGTTACCGATTTTTCTTCAACAGTTGAAACAGTAGGGGTTTTAGGAGAAACGATCTTCTTGATTTTCTGCAAAAACAAACGGAAAGAAATTAGTAATTGCCAGTTCAGCTTGAATGAGCTTTAGTGAACTAGAGCATATAAAAGTATCCTAGCTGACTCGTAAATAACAGCTCATCTGCAATCCTCACTCTACTTAGCCCTAAATGCAAGTCAGGAAACACGCTTTGATATTAAGAACACGACTCTACATTTAAAGCATTAATTAGACGAGGAAGATGAGGTTGATGTGGACATCTTCCAAGGAGAAGATCACCAGATCAATGCCAATCAGTGCATATACAGCGATGTGGATGACCAATAGCCTTGATTGATTCAATACATAAAGAGGTGGTAAAATCGAACATCTCCCGAGAGCAACTCAACCCAACTCAAATGCTGTGAGCATTTTCTTAAGAGGTTTGAAAGATTTTTCTCTGCTTTGACTTGAACAATAAAACCAGCTATAAAACGAGTAAATACCATATCTACAAGCGTTTTTAACTTCTTAGACGTTTCTGTTTGTACCGTCGGTGTACGGGATTTGCTTGAAGCTTTGGCGATAAAACTATCCCAATCCAAGAGGGCGAACTTTTCGGCTACTTTTGGAGTTATGACAGTAAGTTGTGTTGAAGGATTTGGAGTACTCTGTGAAGATTTGAGCAAGTTTAGGCCATCAAACGTGGTTTTTGGTGTTTGTGGTGAACCCAGAGCTGAAGATCCTAAGAAAATTGTAATTAATGAAATAAACAGACTTACCGCTTGCATTTGAACTGACTGAAGACGAAGTTGATCTTGGTGTATGGCTAAAATCAAGCCCCAACGACTCCCGTAGACGTTTTAACTCTAGACGTTTAGCATCGAGTGATGTATCTGCTGATTCAAGAGCAGCTGGCTCCTTAGCTTTAGGTGAAGTAGACGACGAATTCTGATGACCTTTGACGATGCCTTTGGCACGTTTTCCAGACATTGTTGAATTCAGCCTCTTTCTAAAATCAGAGGTAGAAGCAAGAGCTGAAGCCGACTCCATGTCCTTGCTTGCTATATGAATCTCGATGTTTTCTCCAGTGACTTTCGAGATAGCTTCTGCCTCCGATTGCTGGCACTCCTTTGATGACTTTGATGAATCCCGCATTTCACCACAAGAGACCATTATGTTAGAGTCAGCCTGTTTCAGCAATTCTAAAGACTCCTTAGATACTGATTTTGATTTGCTTTCTTTGGTGGAACTCGGAGAAACTGCCTTTTCTTCGGCAATGCTTTCCAAATGACTAACGCCAATGGCATTTGTGGGGATAGTATTATCGTTACTCAGCGATTCACAAGATGCTCCAGCAGAATCCATAGAGTACCTTTTTTTACAATCTTTCTGAACGGAATCCTTAAAATATTCTGGCAACTTCTTTGTTTTAAGAGAAGCCGCACGAACAAGGGACTTATGTACATGTGGAGAATGACTCTTTTTAACAGGAATGTTAGACGGATCTTCCTTTTCTGACCGGATCTTCCATGGGCCACCTTTTTTGGCCCTTTTAATTGAATTTGAAATAGTAGAATGAAAGTGTGATGGACTTTTCTTAACATCAACAGCAAATTTACCTTTAGATGTTGACAACATCCTATTTGAAGATTTTGCGTCATTGTCAATTTCTGATAAATCATTAGAGGGCAATATTCCTTTTTGATCAGATGGTTCCACTGAAATGATGCGAGATTTCTTCAATCTTTCTTTAGTCGCCTTGGAAACACCAGAACTGACAACACTCGAACTACCACTTCTTGTTTGTGTCATAGGAGAAAGGCGCTCAGATGCACATGGCTGGTCTTGCTTGTCGTCATTGCCACTTTTATCTTTACTAATTGATTCAGATGACATTAGTTTGGATTCGCTTTCCTGCTCTTGTTTCCTATTTCGTTCTTCACAATCAATAAATTGCGATTCAATGGATTTCGAATTCTTCTTAGGTATTTTGGTTACAACTCTTCGACTTCTCGAAGAAAAAATATCACCTAAAGAAGATGCTGCTTCGTGGGATGTAGAAATCGAATCCAAAATCGATTCTTTACCAGACTCTTGCACATCGGGGGGAGATTTCCCGTAGTTTTGTAGCTTTTGTGAAGTCGATCTGGAAAACCCGGATTCGACTTTATTCGAACTATTTGCCTTTGTCTTTTCCATGGCACCAGTATCGGGGAAGGAATAATTTTCAAGATTTTTGCCTGGAACGGTTGACATGCTTTCAGCGGGAACAGACTTGATAGCATGCTCTGGTTCTTCCTTACTAGCCATATCATCAGTTTCCCCAGATTTTAGTTTCTTATTGGGGATTTTCGATGATATCCTTCTTTTTCTCAAGGGCAGGGTTCTATCAAAGGACTTCGATTCAGGTTTTTTACTGATGTGAGCCAAATTTGATGGTCCGGCCTTAGCCCGAGTGTGTTCATCACCTAAACCAAAAAATTAGCATCATATTAGGATAACATGAATAAAGTCATATAATCTAAAATAAAACCAAATGTACCAGGTTCGGTATTTAAATCCTCAATTGAATTTTTATCCGTAGTATCTCTCACTAGATTCTCATGGGACAAACTTGAAGTTTTACGAGATTTCGTTAACTTCGAAACGAATTGTTTGGTGTCGATGGAACTATTGTGTCTCGTCCTTCTCATGACAATCTTGTCATTCTGGGTGCTCTCTAATTGTTCACCTTTATTTTTTGGCACATTCTCATCCGACTTCAGCTTCTTGCTAGGAATCTTCAAAGGTTTTTCGGCAGCATCTGACATTCGCCGTTTTCTTGAAGGTAAAGAACCACTAAAAGCCGCCGAATCACCTTGGGTACTTGCTCCACCTTAGATAAAATCAAATAACAGACTTGAAAAAGGAGACAATAATGATAACAACATAAGTACTCCAGAAAATATACTAACAGTTTTCAGGCTTTTCCGGTTTAGAGGAACGCAAAGAAGGCCTCCGATTCTGCTCAAGAGCCTTATCTTCATATATAAAGGGAAATACGCCTTAAAGAAAACGGTAATTTACTTGAATCAAGAGATAAGGATTTTGACTGATTGCATTTTAATTGCTTTTCGTTTCCATCATTTAATTCAGAAGAAGCGAGATCAGCATCTAAATCGACAAGTGCATCAGGAACTAAGTTGTTGGTATACCTGATTTATTGATAAAACGTTCTTCCCATCCAACCCCTAAGCATTTTGCTCGAATATGGTGTTTCAGATTGTTCAATACGGAAAATCCAGTAATATTGCATGCTGTACAGGGAAACTTTGATTTGTGCACATTATGTTTATCTCTAGCATGCTGAATCCTCTCATCAGGTGTAGGAAACTGCATATGGCAAATCCCGCAACCAAGAGGACCCTAATGAAACGAAGAACAGATTTATTAGCTAAAATAATATCTGATTTAATATAAAAATGGAATTTCATTGCGTTATTACAGCTGCAGTTGTTTTAAAATGCTCACGATGGTTAAAATAATAATACTTATGAAGAGCACTTAGTGAATCACATACCGCCCCTTTAAGAGATACCAGAGATTTTCTTGATTTGCCATTAGATTTTGACATGGAGCCTTAGGACTGATACAGAAAAATGCTTTCTGGCAGAGTTAAGCAGAGTATTATCACAAAAGAACCCTAATTCGCAGATGACCTTGAATGGCTAAATGGATATGAACAATCAGTATATAACTTGAATTTCAAAATAAATATCCATTAATAAATTTAAAACATAAATAAGTCCTTCCTATATTTAAATGAAAACTCATACAGTTCTACTTGCACTCCTATGCTTAACTTTGAAAGCATTTAGTTTGGAAGCATGCACTACTCCATAAATCAATCTGGTACACCAAATATTGCCAATTACTCGCCATAATATCTTTTACATAAATTTATGTATATTATTTATATTCTCTATCATCGTTAAAATTTACCAAATTATCAGCTACGTATGACTGTAAATATAACCATTAAATTTGTAAATAATTACTCTTGACGAAAAATCCGATACCTTATCTTTCTACTTCCATATTTTTCCATCTCAGTAACTACACGTCTAATTTTTACTTTTGCCAATTGTTATTAAATTTGTTTTAAAATACAATTTTTTATTTTATTTGAATTTTTTGACTGTCACAATTATAGAATTCTACTCTTGCTTATTATATGCGAATGACTTGATATTTCAGAAATAATTTCTGCAAAATGTGACACCGAAGAGCAACAGTAAACTTTGTTATTATGCTGTGCTATAAAGAATCAAATATGAGAATTGTGATTTATAAGCATTTTTTGGGTCAATTTAGCAAGTCAATAATCTTAATCGTGGGGTGGGCGATAGACTTACCTCGACGTGGTGCAACCTGGGCAACGTATTCTCATACGGCAAAAAAGTCTATTAACCGGCAGTTGACTTCTGTCTTCAATCTACCATCACCCCACTATATGTCATATTTGACTACTTCCACAGTAATCACCTCACCTTTTTCTACCTTTGTGTCTATCTCTTTTACATCCTTGAAACAATCTTCTCTTCCCTCCCCCCTCTCGACTTTTTCCCCTTCGGTGTTCCTCCTGCTCACTGTGAAGCCTGAAGTCAACTAAAGGGCTAATGATAACCATCTTAATCGTCATGAAGCAAGTTAAATTGTGAATTTTGATTATGTATCTAACACTTACTTTATATATGTAACATTGAGAATGTTTAAAATTAAAATGCCTATATCGCAAATTAATATGCAAATTAATATTGAACTTGTTTTTTTTGACACCACTCAAATTTTAATAGTTCCATTACAAAATTACAACAGTTGATTACTTAATTGAAAACAATGGCTTTTAATCAACACAATTTTGATTTTGAAATTGCATAAATATTAGGTCAATAAATCACGCTCATTTCACAACTAGAGAAGGCTATTTTTCTTTGAAATTGGGTGCCATTTTTAGACGAGTGGAGTTAAGTCTTCATATTGTGGGACACGTCATAGCTTAACACGTCATCGCATGCTTACACGCCAGGATTGGGAGGTGCGACCAATCATTAACCTCTGTTTGTTTAACCTAATCTGCCATTCTGATCATGATTAAGCTTCCCGCGTGTACACTTTATCCGCAATATGCGTACTGAATAAACGTGCTCCGTGCTACACACAATATACATCCTGAATAAACGTGCTCCGTGCTACACGTCGAATATGCGTACTGAATAAACGTGCTCCGTGCTACACGTCTGCTTCCTTTATAGCTGGGCTATGGCTTAGCTGTTTCTGGGAGTCTAGGTAGATGTTGGAGAATCTGCCATAGAGAGAGCTATAGCTTAGCTGTTCTGGGAGTCTAGCTAGGTGTTGGAGAATCTGCCATAGAGATTTCGGTCAGGCTTTACTAGCGTAGCAATCCGCTACAATGCAATCCGGTCAGGCTTTACTAAGGTAGCAATCCGTTACAATTCTCAACCGGTCTGGCTTTACTAAGGTAGCAATCCGCTACAAGTCTTTAACCAGGTCAGGCTTTACTTAGGGAGCAATCCGCTACAAGTCTACAAAACAATATACATAACTTTCTACAATATACAGGGTGCATGTCCTATCCGAAAAGCCTTCAAAACTAAAATGGTTTTAACAAGTTCAGTTATTTGATAGCTTAAATCCAAAATTTTAATATACTTTTCATGTTTTCCATTGATCCAAGTTCACCTTAAGTGCACTTTTATTTCCGTTCTGCGTATAACTTTGTTATTATCGTTGAGTTCACCTTCCACTCTTAACACTCCATTTCTGTATCAAGGTTGATATTTCAGGATTTTTGTGAGAGTTGTGTTAATATTATCTGCCATCTTTTCTTTGTGTTCCTTTCAGTCGTGCCTCAGTACTTAATTTCTAGCATTAACCGTTTGATTATTTCCATTTCTATTGGATTCGATATTAGAAAAATATTAGACGGGGTGTGTTTACTCGACAAGTTTGTGAATTCTGAACATACAGCTAATTAAAACGTTCTTCCTGAGGACTTTTTGAGATTGAAATTTCATTAATTATTTTTCAAGAAACTTAAAAATTCCATTATCATTATGCTAAGGGATTCAAGGGTATTTATTTGACTTTCGTATGGATGCTGAATTTGTAGAGGATTACTGTTTGAATAAGCCTGGAGTAAATCTCAGAAACCACCATGACAACCTCACCTGGTATGGAATGGCTCCGAGATTGACTAAGCTAACTCAACTATTTAGATGAAATAGAGAGCATAGTGAGAATAACGCCTAAGTTGATTGTGTCACTGACACAGCTTACTCATTCGAATTCTCTGAAGGATTTGTTTAACGAAGCAGAGAAGTCTGATTGTGGATGGTTGAGAGGTCTCTGCACTCACAGCTCACCTTCTTCCTAAGCGACAAGTAGAACGGCTTCCCATTTGAGATTGTCTGAGTGCGCATAAGACTTCAATTCAATTATCCAAAGGACAAAGTTCAAAATCTACGAGACATTTTCTGTTATGTGGGTATGCTTACTATTCACTGAATAAATCCGCAGACTTCAATTGTCCATCGAAACTTTGCGTAAATATTTCCCTGTTCGACTCTATTTTCACAACCATTGGCCACTCAGGTGGGATTCTGACGCCCAAAAGTGGAAAATGAAAAAATAAGCAACAAGGTAGAGACACGCAAACTACCACATATGCAGATTCACCTTAAATCTCATAAACAAACATACACCGTACATAGTCGAAATAGTTTTTTTAAGGCTAAATGAATGACACAACAGTTTTCAAAATTTGATACACACCATGACAACTCTCTAAAGCGCGCTTATGGAGCACAAAGGTCAAAACATCATTCACCGATATTGTGGGGCGCGTCATCGACTAACAGGTGATTGCCTGCGCGCACAAACAATGGCTAATCATAAGCCTTCGTTTGTTTAAGCGGAACCGTCATTTTGATTATCATTAATCTCACTGTACTTTTGACATCTTATACTTACTGAATAAACGTGTTGCTTCCTCTATAGCTGAGCTGTGGCTTACATAGTTCTCGGAGTCTAGGTTGATATAGGAGAATCTGCCACAGATATTTCTGAGTCAGTCAATGCTTTACTATTGTATCAATCCACTACAATATTTATATTCACCACTAAGTTCCAGAAGAGTTTAATGTATTTTTTAAATCAAATTTTAATAAATTTCGATTATTACATTGTAATCTTTATTGCCTCAATTATATTTAAATTCGGGGTGTGGGATAGACTTACCTCCACGTGGTGCACCCTGGGCAACGTATACTCATACGGCAAACAAGTAAATTAATTAACAGTTGACTTCTCAATTCAAACTACCAAGACCCCAACGCATTTCATAGTCGACTAATTCCACAGTACTCACCTCACCGTTTTTCTACCTTTGTGTCTGTCTGTCTCTTTTACGTCTGTGAATCATTATTCTGTCCCCCCCCTCTCGACCTTTTGTCACTTTGATGTTCCTCCTCCTCCTCTCTGTGAAGCACGAAGTCAACTAAACTGCTAATGATACCTATCATAACGCCTGCCATTTGAAATAAATAAATATTTAAATTCGCCCTAAATTCAATGACATGGCATTTATAAAGTACAGTCATAAATATCTCTTTTATTAGCGAATACTAGTGTATTGCAAGCAATTTATTTCTTACCAATTCAANGACAGTGGCACTCTCCGACATAGCCGACTGGCCAAGAATCGAAGCCGTTGCTGAGTTAAGACTTCGTACTGGACACGATTGCCTGACAAAACACCTTCACAGATTGGGAGTATACACTCAACCCACATGCCCCCTATGTGATCTACAGGAGGAAATGGAGAAGAACCACCTGATTCGGTGTCCAGCCCTAAAGACAAGTACGGAAAGCCAAAGATACTGGGAAGCAAGAAGACAGCTAATGAATTGCTATTAATTAACTGCTATAAATGTACCCCCCCCCCTTCTTGGGGGAAGCTGAAGTCAAAGATAAAGGGCTAATGATAAATATCATAAAGCCTGCCATTTTAAATAAATAAATAATTTGCAATCGCTAAGTTTTTCAATGGGAAAGGTGCAAATCTTCGCAAACCTATCATATAAATTTAGTGAAAAACCTTTAACAACAAGTGCGTATCGATTGACACCCAATGTTGCAGCAAATTTATAGACGTAAAATAAAAGATGGACTTTTAGGAACTAGAGTATACCTGAATGGAGTGTTTCTCACAGCATTTGTGTCTACTTCTCAAACTAAAATGATTTGTTAATTCTCTGCATGCATGCTCTGGGATGTCCACAATTTGCCAAGAAGCTAGCTTCTATAACGTGGCGTCATTGGCATCTACTGGGAATAGACGTACGCAGCTGCACTCATAGTGGAACCGCTTATTCAGGAGATCAAGAATGGAGATTTGACCATTCCAGAGCAACCTGCAGCTTGGCGAGAGAAAACTCTTACCATCTGTCGAGACAACTTACTTGAAAATATTGGAATGGAAATCTCTGCTGGACAATACCGACTAAGAGGTGGATGAACTATCGTAGTTTCTAGTCAAATACCGAGAACTAAGAGCTGCTGTCTACGATACGATCGAATCAGTTTCCGTTCGATTAATTCTTGAAATACCCGTGAAACGTATATACTTAATGAGTCTGAAAAGCCATTGAAATGGTTAATATGGAATGTATAGTCGTTAGTCGCCCAATAAGTTCAAGCACAGATGGAATTTTCATCTACATCCAATCATATTGTCATGACTGGAGTCTCGTAACGTTGACAACCGATTCTTTTATTTAGTAAACTTAAACAAAATATAGTGATAAAGATATGACTAAGGGGGGGGGGGTTGGAGGGGCGGGATGAATAATAGATGTCTTGAAACTAAGATTTGCGCATAGCCTCAATTGTGGTTAAAGATATCGGGCATTAGATGAGAGTGCGTAGTTGGATGCAAGCTTTCAAGGCATTGTCTCTAAGGGCGAATATACACTTTTATTTGCACTTTCCCTAATCTTACTTTTTAACTAATTTTAAGTTCATCTGATCGTGGGGGAATGCGCACACACCTGAACTTATCAGGATTATAGTGACAAGATCGTATGATGGTAAAAGGTCTTCTCTTCTTTTCTTCTCTTAATATCAGGACGGGCTTGCTTTTCACGTATCTTCTACTTCTCACTATAACTCACTTAAGGACTCACTTGGTTTCGTTTTCAGTCCTTTTCAAAATATTAGATAAAATCGAATCTGTGCCCTCTTTCCAACTCATACTAGTTAATATCTACAATGCTTGTAAAAAAATTATTCGCCCTAAAATGATGAAGGATTTCTGACAACGGGGACCGGAAAGACCAAAAACCACGATTGAATGGGGGGATTTGTACCGTTGGAAATTTATTATCACGAAAAGGTGTCCAAGACGGTTTTTTGAGGCGCTAAAATATTGCTGAGGAAATGGCAGTTTGCAGTAACTTCCTGTTCACTTTAAGGGAGTGAACTATTTTACCACTGAATCCCTGATTAAGTTCTCCTTTCAAATCTCACTGCTCATTAAATAGAATTGTTGCAGTTATTTGTTGGCATTTTAGTAGTGATTAAATTTACTGTTGTGAAAGATCTTCTAATTGTCCCCCCCCCCCTTGAGTCGTAAATTCGATCTTGGGAACCTCTTTGATGAAAGACTTTTACTCAGTAGTCGGTGCTTATAGATGAGAGCGATCGTTCATTCGAATACATTACGATCGAATCTTGGACCTCTGACTCACGCAAAGGTCTCCTGTTGTATATTGGGGAGAGGCCACAGTCTCATAGGAAAATCCGTGCATCGAGCTCAAATTAAAAGTCTCTACTTTGATTCACGTAAATTACCTCTAGCATCTAATCAAGTTAGCTTATTGGAAGTTAATTTGACCTCTCTGCAGAACTAGGAGAAATCTTCTTGGATTAAACATGAGCTCACAAGATGTTTATTTAAATTGCTGTTTGAATAACTCTATCAGCCTTTGGAGTAGCTTTAATAGGTCCCCACTTCCCAAGTCGGTGATTTTTTGGCATCTTCGGAGCTGTTCATGCTACCTTTTTAGACACTTCACCTCACCCCAACCTATCACTAACTCTCCCACTCTCATGTTTTCTGGTCAATTTTCTAACAAACTCCACCTCTTGAAGGATGATAGCTGAGTAAAAAGGTTTTACAGTTTCGAAGACACGACAATGTCATTTACTCTACTCCAACTGCTAAAAAGCTATTGCCTCGTTAGTCTATTTAACTTATGGAAGGGAGAAAAGATTATATGATGAGTAGAGTGAGTATCGTTACATGGGAGATGTAAAACGTAGATAAAGTCATAAACGACTCCAGTAGCTATATTGTAACGTTAGTTAGTAGTGAATGTTTGGACCACAGTGCATGAAAAAACCTGATTTAAAATCTGTGGTAAATAGGAACCCCAGTTCTGCATTGAATTACAATTCCTCAATAATTTTCCATTAGATAAACCTTTAGGGATGATTTCAACTTCATCATCTCACTAGTCTTTTAACTTATGAATAATTACTTTAATTAGTTTATACATTCCATTCAAGTCCTTTGGTTATCTGCTAACAGAGATCAGAATTTATCGCATTCTGAATAGTTGTGATTAAGGGTTTGACTAAAATACGCTCAAATTGGAAAGGATGCCTTCAATCAAAACACGTCCAAGTATATTGACTGAACGGGAAAGCTGTTGGTGCCATAGAGTCAATATTAATATAACCCCCCCCCCTTGAACCACGCACTCACATGTCTATCGAATTATTGGGATTCTCTGTTTTGCATATAATATGTCAGTCTCGGGGTGTGCGATAGACTTACCTCCACTTGGTGCACCCTGGCCAACGTATACTCATATGGCAAAGGTCTATTGACTTCTCACTTCAAACTATCATCACCCCACTGTATGTCTTATTCGACTCCTCCTACAATACTCACCTCACCTTTTTTTCTACCATTGTGTCTGTCTCTTTTGCATCTTTAAAACATTCTTCTGTTCCCCCCNCTCATTCACTCGCTTTCTGAGTAATCTTTTGTTTACTTCTCTCTGTTTACGCTAATGCTCGAATGACTCCAGCCTTTAAGCTACAGCAAAAATATGCAGTGAACATGGCAGCTAATTTAGTTAAAGGTATACTTTAATTTACTGCTGGCAACTTAAACGTATTTGGGGGGGGGGGAAGATGACTGGGATAAATTGACAAGCAAATTTGAGGAGACAGGATGAATCACAACGACGCGTGACTGACATAATATTTATTTCAAATGGCAGGCGTTTTGATAGCTATCATTAACCATTTAGATGACTTCGGGCTTCACAGAGGGAAGATTCATCAAAGTAGCAGAAAGTCGAGGGGCGGGGAACAGAAGAGCGATTCGCAGATGTAAAAGAGGCAGACAGACACAAAGGTAGAGAAAAAGGTAAGGTGAGTACTGTGAAAGGGGTCGAATATGACAAGCAGTCGGGTCGTGGTAGTTTGAAGTGAGAAGTCAACTGCCAGACAATAGACATTTTTGCCGTATGAGTATACGTTGCCCAGGGTTATCACGGAGGTAAGTCTATCGCACACCCCGTATTTTAGACTTTTTTGTCGCATGAGTATACGTTGCCCAGGGTGTTAGACTTTTTTGCCGTATGAGTATACGTTCCCCAGGGTGCAGTTAAAAGACTTTTTGCCGTATGAGTATACGTTGCCCAGGGTGCACGGACATTTTTGCCGTATGAGTATACGTTGCCCAGGGTGCACGACGTGGAGGTAAGTCTATCGCACACCCCATATGTGTATATATAAATATGGTGTTATTTAGTTTCTCGTGTGTTGCATTAAAAGGACCGCTGAGGAAATTTTCGAATTGAGGTAAATTGCTCTTTAAAAAGTTAAACCTGAGAAATTAGACTCAAGCACATATACGAGTTAGTTATCATTTTTATAACGCAAATTAATTTGATTTATAGGCCGAAGAATGGTATTCTATTAACGAATATTTATGTGATGTCCATAAAATTGTCAGAAAATTATCACTTAGGAGAACTAAGCAACAATGAGTATCAGCAAGTTCTACAAATGAATAAGGGTTGGAATACAGATACGGAGGTCGAAAAAGAAAACTTAACAAGACTTTTTAGCCCGGGTAGTCTCCAGTTCACCAATTGAGCATTTCCCATTTCAAGAATACTTGTAAAAGATTTTACTACTCTTTGATTTAGAATATTTAAAAAAAAAGTGATAGATTTATCACAGTAATAGAATTTTACCACGTGGTATAACAAATATTATTAATTTATTTATATCAAATGGCAGGCATTTTGATAGTTTCATTAGCCCTTTAGGTGACTTCAGGCCTCACAGAGAAGAAATATCAAAGTGAAAAAAATTTGAGAGGGATGGGGGAACAGAAGAGTGTTTCAAAGATGTAAAAGAGAGACATAAAGGTAGAAAAAAGATGAGGTAAGTACTGTGGAAGTAGTCGAATTTGACATAAATTGAGGTGACGGTAGTTAGAAGCCAGAAGTCAACTGTCGGTTAATAGACTTTTCCGTAAGAGTATACGTTGCTCAGGGCGCTCCACGTGGAGGTAAGTCTATCGCACACCCCATATAACAAATATAGATCCAAAAATACCTGTTTNCACGTGGTGCACCCTGGGCAACGTATACTCATACGGCAAACAAGTAAATTAATTAACAGTTGACTTCTCAATTCAAACTACCAAGACCCCAACGCATTTCATAGTCGACTAATTCCACAGTACTCACCTCACCGTTTTTCTACCTTTGTGTCTGTCTGTCTCTTTTACGTCTGTGAATCATTATTCTGTCCCCCCCCTCTCGACCTTTTGTCACTTTGATGTTCCTCCTCCTCCTCTCTGTGAAGCACGAAGTCAACTAAACTGCTAATGATACCTATCATAACGCCTGCCATTTGAAATAAATAAATATTTAAATTCGCCCTAAATTCAATGACATGGCATTTATAAAGTACAGTCATAAATATCTCTTTTATTAGCGAATACTAGTGTATTGCAAGCAATTTATTTCTTACCAATTCAAAGGTCGTCAGCTTCTGGTGTGGCATGCATTATTTTTTATTACTTGGCAAGTAACCTACTTTAAGAGTCTGATGGGGGGGGGGCGTTATCGAAAGCCAATTGTGCAGTAAATAACGCAGGGACTGGGGGAAGGGGGTCTCATGAATGTATGTGCATTATGCTAATCACAGGAGTTGTCATATATATATGCTACCAACTGCGAAGTTGGTCAGGTTGAACTCTCCTGAACCAAGATTGCCGGACACATTTCCTATATATGTAGGGAAAATAGTCTCCCCTAAAATAGGTTCCTATTCGGATTATTCACTTATTTACTAATACAAGCGCTTGTGTCCTGCTTCGCCAAGGTGGATTGAGTCGTGCGGTACTGTGCAGTTGTCTATCGATTTGTGGTTGCAACGGGTGCTATTCTTTGACATCTACCAGTTGGATACAATATTCTGCAGGAC